AGCAGTTAGCAGTGAACGGCAAAATCAACCAATTACGTGTTTTGAGATGCAATACCAACCTTTGAAACACCCTTCCCAAGGTACTCAGACTCTCCATCTCTCAATTCAAGGGCTTCATATATTCCTATCAAATGAATGAAGACATTTAATTCAAGATAGTCAGAGAAGGAGCTACCAATCAACAATGTCAAGAAATAAAACACACACTTCGCATTTCATCCAAACTGAACTACGTTATTCTTGGATCAGTGGCACTTAACAACATCTAATAATATATATCTTCACCATCTAAAAGGTGCTACAACCGGAAATAGGATCAAGCTGATCAAAAACAGTGCATTGTCATGCAATACCCTTCTAGATATGAGTGGTTCAAATTTCAAGAGATTCCAAGGAAAACATCGATATTAAAGAAATTTTCCTACAAAGAGACCAAAGGTTGGCCACTTTTCTTACTTAAACAGCCAAACAGAAACTCATAACATGTAAAGGATGACATCAACAAGCAAACAACATACCCAGTATAATCCCAAAAGTGGGGTTCTAGGTAGGATAGAGTGTAGTGCAGCAAATCAAAATAGTTATGAAAAAGGAAATAAAACATGTCAATTAATAAGGAAAGTAGCCTACACACAAATGAACAACAACAACAACGAAATAGCACTGTAAACTGAAATGCAATAGACAACAGATGGTAACAAATATCAAAAACAAGAAACTACGGGGTCGTTTGGTGTGAGGGATAGTACCAAATAGTCCCGGGATTAAATTATAGTACCGCTTATTTTGTTGTTTGGTTGGCAAGTTCGGGATAACTTATCCCGGGATTAATAATTAGTACCGGGATAAGTTATCCCTCTCCTTGGGTGGTATAGTAATCCCGGGATAACTTATCCCGGGATAAAATAGGTAAATGACAAAAATGTCTCTTTCAACCCTTTTGTTCTATCACTTTTTACATTAATGAGGGGCATTTTTGTAAACAAATAAATTATTCTTAAAATTTATTATTTTGAATACAACAAACCAAACACTCAATAAAAAATAATCTCAACACAACTTATCCCATCATAACTAATCCCAACATAACTTATCTCAACATAACTTATCCCATCATAACTCATTTTCAAACCAAACCACCCCTACAAGTATATGAACTAATACTACCACGGACACGGTGCTTCCATACTCACACCAAGCCTAATCCCACCGAAAAAATGAGACAAACATTAAACAAATCATCACTTTAAAACACATAATTTAATCATTGGCTTTGCATATCTGTATAAACACAGCCAAACCAGTACATTCAGTTACAACGAAAAAAATAATAATCAACTAATACAACGAATATAAACAGATTTTCACCTGTTGATGCGCCACTAGGAACCGCAGCTCTCTCCCAGAGGCCATTTGATAGATGAACATCAACCTAAAACATGTACACAACAAACAAAAAGTAAACTATCAAAAAACCATCAGAATCGGATCGAAAAACGACAATGTGATACAGAAAACATGGAAAAATGCTGAAATCGAAGGAGATCTGAAGTAGAACGAACCTCAACCGTTGGATTACCGCGGCTATCGAAGATCTGACGAGCCTTGACGGACTTGATAGTTGCCATGAGTAAGGTATGAGTTTGGGATATGCGTTCGAAGGTGTTGGTTGTTTGTGAGAATAGTGAGAAGATACGCCACGAATTTGTAGAGAAAGGTAGTATAATTACCACCGTTGGATGGGTTCCGATGGATCTCTTAACGTTTCCCACGATTAGGTCGTGTATAAGTCGGTTCGATTTTATGCTTATTATCATATTAAATTATTATAAAATAATTAAGATATTAATTTATTGGTTATTAATCGTTATCATCAGTTTATTTATGAATTTAAAAGTTAAGGCTTTATATAAAAAAACATTGAAAATTAATTAGAAACAAGGTGACAAATAATGAATCATGTAAATGAGTTGTCATATTGCATCTTGTTCAAAAACAAACACAGTCATATTGTGGAATAATCGAGAGTTTGAGATAACCAGAAATAAAAATATGAAATTGAACTTTAAGTTAAAGATTTTTTTATATCAAATGGCATAAATGTTATTTTATTTACTATAGGGAATATGCATAAGTATCCCCCAGCCTATGCCCAAAATCTCTGAGACACACTTAACCTTTACTAATGTCCTATTACCCCCGAACTTATTTTATATATAATTTTCTACCCCTTTTCAGCTTACGTGGCACTATCTTGTGGGCCCAACAATTTTTTCAAGGATAGTGCCACGTAGGCAGAAAATGGGTAGAAAATTAATTAAAAAATAAGTTCTGGGGGAGAGGGGAGGGGTAATAGGACCTTAGTAAATGTTAGGTGTGTCTCAGGAATTTTGGACATAGGCTGGAGATACTTATGCATTTTCCCTTTACTATAGGGTTATTGGTTAACCCATTAAACACAAACCTCTAAACGTTAAGAATCAATAATTCGATAATTAAAAAAAATCAAACGGTTACCAAAATCGTGAACCAATAACAAATTATATCGATAAATAAATAACTTTTTTTCCAGTTTGGATTGTTGGTTTTGGTTCGATTTTGAACAATTCTTGGATTGTTGGTTTTGGTTCGATTTTGAACAATTCTACCCTCGATATATATAAGCTATTGAAAATGAATTCGTGAAACCAACATCAGTTGGGTGCAAAAAGTACTGAGACTGATTCACCCTAAATTAAAGATGTCGAATGGGGCATCACTCCTAGAATGAATTTTGTTGTGCGCGATTTAAATTTAGTTAAAAATCAAACACAAAATATTTTTAAAAAAAAATTGCCAATATTAAATGATGAAAAAGTTGAAGTGAATCTAAAGCTAAAATTGATTGGAGCTTGTTTATATCAATTTTGAATAAAAAATTATAACTTCAAACAAAAAATCAATTGAAATTTGTTACTAAATATTTGTATAACTTTAGTCTTTAATCAATAATCAAACGACTACATATTCCATTTATTTGATTTAAGGCCATAAAATATCGGATTAGTATTGCACTATATTCTACTCCTTATAAATGTTTCTCATAATAAACTAACAATGTGTTAATATGAACAATTTATTATGAAAATATTATTTTTTTAAAATAAGGAAAATAACTTTTCTAATGTTTCTTTTAAAAAGAAAATTTTATAATGGTGTCATTCTCAATCTCTGACACACCTTATTTTTACTATCACTCTCGTAGTATCCACCCCTACCTTCACTTCCACCTCCATCCTCATATTTTATGATATTTATCTAGATTATATATAAATATTTTAGAATAATCTATTTTGTTTGATTATCAAACACAGAATAATACTAACTAAAAAAACTCATTTATTTTCCTAAAATATATTTTTCGATGAAAATATGCAATTTCTTTTCTTGTCCCATCTCCTCCTCCCGTGTACTAAAAATCAAGAGTTCTATGGTTGCCTTGTGTGAGATATTGTCACTTATGAGTTATAATGATTTTAATTTATAATTATGTAATATATAAATATTATGATTTTTATTAAATACGTAAATACATTAAAGTATATTTATAAGTTTGTTTGATTAGCCTATCAACTTAGCCAAACATTTTCTTAACATGTCTGACTAGGTTTTTAGAAAGTTAAAAAATGCATATATTTTTTTTCGATATTCAATATCTTTGTACATGGTAGGGACTTATTAGGAGGTTCCAAGCTTTTTAATTTTCTTCTTCTTTTGTTTTTCTCTCTTTTCAATTTTCTTTACTTCTTCACGTTACCCTAACTTTGATTATTTTAAAATTTGCATCTATATAAATCACATGAAATCTATTAAAACAGATGTTGAGATGGCCGAGTTGGTCTAAGGCGCCAGATTAAGGTTCTGGTCCGAAAGGGCGTGGGTTCAAATCCCACTCTCAACATTTGAATTTTTATATTTGTAATCACTCTCTTGTGACCCAAACTATAAACATCTAATGAATAGCTATTTGCATTTTATATTTATATTTTTTAATTATACTTTTACTTTAATAAATTCTTGAATAGCTATTTGCATTTTATATTTATATTTTTTAATTATACTCGTACTTTAATAAATTCTTTACATGTATATAATCTATACTTCATTTGAAATACTTTTTTTGTGACCCCAAACTATAAACGTCTAGAAATGAATAGCTATTAGCATTTTACAATTTGAGAATGACCTTTCAGAAGAATTAACAAAGTTATAACTTGATACTTGTCGTAAAAGAATAAAGATGATGAGGCCTCGAATACAAACCTTGTGTATAAAAAAAATAATTATGTTAGAGAGTATTTTTCTTTTAATTGGCCATACGCAATGCAAATCTTGATTAATCGAGTCTATTTGAATTTTATAACTTGAGAATGACCTTTAAGAAGTTTAACAAAATTATAACTTCATACTTGTCTTATATAAGAATAAAGATAATGAGGCTCCGAATATAAGCCATGTGTCAAAAATAAAATTTATGTTACAAAGTTTTTTTTTTCTTAATTAGCCTTAAGCAATGCAAATCTAGATTAATCGAGTCAAGTCATGAGGTTTATCATTTCTTCTAAATTATCATTCACGCACTAGTATCCTTTAGATGAATGCTAATTAACGAGTAGCCTTGAAGAAGTATTAACAAAATTATAACTTCATACTTGTCGTATAAGAATAAAGATGACGAGGCCTCAAATTCAAATTTCAAGCCATATGTATAGTAAGTTATGTTAGAGAGCACTTTTCTTTTAATTGGCCTTACAAAATGAAAATCTGAATTAGTCGAGGTCGTGTGAGGTTTATCTTTTCTTCTAAATTCTATCATTCACTTGTATTCTTGTGATGAATGCTAATTCACAAGTAGCTAAAGAGAGAATAAAAATGACAGTTCTATAATTACTTGTTACTTATCCATAATTTTCTTTTCCATTTATATTGAATAATTTTTTCCACATAACAAATCCAATGAATTACATCACACTGATATGGGGAAATACTTTTATTGGACTTCTAACAGAATACCTATCAGAAGACCAAATTATGTACCCTTGGGAATGCCCTGTAAGATCTAATGACTTAACTGTTACATTATACGACGCCTTCTGATTCAACGCTGTAAATTTCAAGATTTTAGGTTGAACAGTCACCTCGACGCCTGTGAGCCCAAATACTTCAACTGTGTAAGCTGAACTTGCTTCTCCGACGTTAGTCACAGTCCTTGTATAAGTTTGAGCACTTGATTCCTTAGGAATAGAAAATGACGGATAGTTCAACTCTGATTGAGGTATGCTTGTTGTACAATGTACCTTCTTTTTCACAATGATACTGACTTGATCATCTGTATAATTCAAGCCACATAAGTATGGGATGTAATCTTTGGGCTGGATGTCATAAACGAGTCCTGGATCATTTGCTCTTGATGGATTCACATGCCCTGATCCGATTGTAAATAGATCAGCAAGTTCAAGTGTCTCGTCCAGAATTGGATCGTTTCCAAGGTTGACGATGTCAGCTGTGGTCATGATTGCGGATTTAATTGCAGCTGGAGACCAATTTGGATGTGCATTCTTTAACAATGCTGCAACTCCTGCAAGATGAGGGCAAGCCATCGACGTTCCATAAAAGAGGACAAACATCTGGCCTGCTGTAGGGTCTGGCCACGCTGCAAGGATATTCAATCCAGGGCCAATAATGTCAGGCTTTAGTATGCCCTGACTCGGCATAAATGGTCCTCTAGAAGAAAAGTAAGTAACTGCTGGAGCGTGCTTGTCTCCAAATGTCGTTCCCCTAAATGATATCGTTCCAACTGGTGTTGATGTTGATTTCATATAGTTTATGATCTCTAGTCCATCATTGTAACCAACCTGTGTCGTGGGAACGACATCATAATCTGAGAATATTGTAGAGCCAAGTCTCTTATTATTAATGAGAATCATGCCAGCACCACCGACAAGTTTCACTAATCTTCCTTGGCTCATTCTAGAGTACAAGCCACCGCTTCTATCACACACCACTATTTTACCCTTGACATTGCTTGAATTCAATGATTCACAACCCTTGCCATTCACAAGTGGTAAAATTTTTTGAGAAAAATTCGTTGGTTGAAAGGCTGATTCACCTTCATATTCAGCTCCATTACCCAGAACTGCAACGGCGCTTATCTTTCTATCTGTTGTGCTAGCACCAACTGTGAGAATCCACGGGGCCCCGTTCATCACAGTACCACTATCTGGCCCATGATTTCCTGCAGAGGAACTTACAAAAATCCCCTTCTCCATCGCGCTATACGTGCTAATAGCTATAGCATCACCATAAAAAGGCTGAGGCTGAGTTGCTCCAATTGAAATGGCAATCACATCTACACCGTCTTCAATTGCAGCATCAAAACCAGCTATAATATTGGATTCTCTACAAAAAATTGCTGCACAGACTTCGTACATGGCCACATGGGCTCGGGGCGCAATGCCAACAGCCGTGCCATTAGCATTACCATAATAATTGGCACCATCCACAAAGTTCCCCGCAGCTATGCTTGAGGTAAGTGTTCCGTGGCCAATTTCATCTGTAGGGAACGTACTAGGTTGCACAAAATTTCTTGCTCCAATAAGCTTCTTATTACAATTTGTAACATTGAACTCACATTTACCTTTCCATTTATCAGGTGGATTAGGCATTCCATTATCATTAAACGAAGGATGTTGAGGAGTAATTCCACTATCTAATAAACCAATAATCACACCTTTACCTGAATTTGATGCATTCCACAAACCAACATTCTGGTGCAAGCCTAGGAAACTTGGACTATGTGTGGTGTGCAACTGAAATATTCGTTCGGGACGCGCTGACAAGAAACCAGGCTTCTTTTCCATTTCTCTCACTTCGCCTGATGACAACATAGCAGCAAAACCATTGAATACATGACGATAAGAATATAGAATGCGCGATGAGTGATTCAAATTTGTAGGCAAAAATGATTGATGCCAGAGAAGTACATCTTTGGAATTTGAGAAAGGTTGATCATGAAATTCAAGATGTACTATATAAATTTCTAAATCACTTTGATTTGTGAAATTATCACCAAATATTTTTGATGAATGAAGCAGGACAAAGCAGAGAAAGGTAGAGATGAATTTCAGATCCATATTTTGTTTAGGTGATTATCACATTCAGCAAGATGTGCATATATATAGTACTAAGTTCATTAAACATAATCTTGACTTGATCATATTTAATTCATTATGGTCAGGAATTCAGCTTTCTGCAAAATTATCCATATTAACTTATTCTAACTGTAACATTAACTTGAATAGAGAAAATAATTATTATGATGGTTAATTAGTTGACTGAAAATAAGAATAGAATAGTCGGGCTTTACGTCGATATGGGCTAGATCCGTTGGGTCTGCTTGGCCTAACCCGTGATTTAATAGGGTTGTGCTAAGATTTTTGGAGTCCATTTAAGAAAAAGACTTTTTAGCCTGACCTGAATAAACCCGCTGATCTGCAGGGGGTTGAGCAATATGGGTAGGCCCGACCCGTGGACCCAATAAAAAATAATTAGAAAATAAAATAAAATAGAATATCAACAAGAGTCTATACTCAAAATCTATTTAAGAAAGATAAAGTACAAGAAAAACTTCCATTTTGTAAAGTTTAAGAAAATTTCCACTTTATAAAGTGGAAGAAAATTTTTTGTTTTATAAAGTGTAAGAAAAACTTCTGTTTTATGTTAAAATCTAGACGTTAACAGATTAACGTCTGCCGTTTAATTTTCTTGGTAAAACAGAAAAAAAAACTACACTAAGGACCCGTTTGACCATAGATTTTCCAAGTAAATTTTGAGAAAAAATTTGGCAAATAGTGTTTGTCCATTCAATCTGCAATTATTTGCTAATTTTTCTTGGTATAATAGATAAACATGACCCTTAACTTGACTTCAATTGATAACTATGACCTTTAACTTTGAGTGTGCACAAGTAAGCACTTAAACTTGTATAAAATTAAATAAATAGACACATTCGTCCTACATGACACTCTACATGGAAATTTTGTGTACTTGTTCAATTTTATACAAGTTTAAGTGCTTACTTGTGCACACTCAAAGTTGGAGGGCATAGTTGTCAGCTGAAACCAAGTTAAGAGTCATGTTTATGTATTATGCCATTTTGTTTTGGGCAAATCTCATTATTTAAGAGCTTTTAAAAATTCTAATTCTACGCCAAACTTTTATCTTTTATAAAAACACCATCTATTGATTAACACCAACTAACTCAATTAACCCTCTATCTACCAACCAACTCAATTAATACACTTTTCTATCTATAAAGAGCATAGACGTACAAGAGCTTTTACACCCAAAATATTAGTTGAACAACCCTAGTAAAGTTGTGTGGTAATTCTCCGTGGAGAAACAACTGAAGGTAAAATCTATCATGGACACTAATTGTTATTTGTTGCAACGAAGATCCAACTGACTTGTTGCGGAAGTCATTAAGCTTGTTATATCGACGTTTCTATCTTACTATGTAATACAAACTTATGATTAGTTTTGATAGTTTTTTGAAAACTTATGGGTATAAATCATATTTCTTAAAAAAGTGAAATATGTTTCCCAAATACTATGACCAAACACATGGTGAAATTTCACCTAAATAATATTGGCCAAAAATATTTGGAAATCTATGGCCAAACCCTAGGTAAGCGTGTGTTTGGTATGAAGGAAAATGTTTTCCATCGATATATTTTATTGGAAAATAAGTTGGTTTCTAACTTATTTTCTCATGTTTGGTTGGTGAGTGGAAAATATTTTTTGAATTTTTTTTCAAGTGTATGAAAAATATTTTTTGAAAATATCTTTTATTTTTGTCTAGAGAGTAAAAAATATTTTTTATGAAAATAATTTCTAATGTAAAAATCAACCTCGATAATCGATCCGACATCTGACCCCAACACCCGATTTAGAACCCAACCCCTACTCCTGACACGAGTCCTAACATTTGAACTAGAACCCTACCCTAACCATAACCCGAATAAGGACATGATCCCAAGACCTAACCACGCTAGAGACACGACACTCAAACTCAAATATGGTCCCGACGCCCAAACTTGAACCTGTCCCGAGACCCGAATTCAACCTGACCTTGACATTCGACCTTGACTCCCGAGTCTTGACCCTAATATCTGACTCAAAATATAACTATTGAAATATGATCTGACCCCCGACTCTAGCCCCAACCTCGACATCGATTCGAGACCCTAACCCTAATCTCGAGACTCGACCTCAACGTTACACCCAATCTAAGACCCGATCTTGAACCCAATATCCGACAAAACCTCTCATCGACCTTGTCACTTCCTGAGCTACCTTCGAGATGCGGACACGGGACCTAGGATCACAAGTGATCCCCAAGCTAACCCTGTTGGCATGACATGAGCATACTAAGGATAAAAATAACTGATGCGGAAGCTAAATCATAAATAAAACTGAAATGACGGGGAATACCCATATATTAAAACTGAATATATAATCTGAGAGTTTAATACAAAAGGAAGACCAAACTCAACAACCAAGCTAAATCTAACTATGTCTGAAAATAGCCTCTAACTGACTAGAAATGCTAGGACATGCCCCAGCTAAGTCTAGCAAAACTAAAACTAAAGGACTAAAATACTAAAAAGATAACATGACTATTGTCCTCGAAGAATGAGGACTCACCGCTCTGCTGATACTACTGAACTGGAGATCAGGAACCGATCTAAGCGTGATCTGACTGCTGGGGACTTGATCGTACATCACGAGAAGATGTAGCGCAATATATGCGTCAGTACTTGAAAGGTACTGAGCATGTAGGATAAAATAATGCTGAAATAAACACATAACTGAACAAGCAATAAAACAAGTGCATAATCTGAACATGATATAGATACTGAATACTGAGCTAACTGAATGAAATGACCAATTTATTACATACTGAGACTGAATACTGACTGTACTGAAAATGGTCAATGCAATAAAGTCTGACCGAGCTGTGGGAGCTACTAATAACCGATAATAAAACCACATGATCTAAATGTGGAGTCCGATGTATACGCCCCATCAAGAGGATCCAATACACCCGGCCAAAGGTGTAGAGGCATGCTGGCGTGATCACTAAAA